CCCTACCCCACCGCCCCCACCCTCTCACTCCCATCAAACCCCTCCTCAAAAGACGCCCCACACCCCAGCCCTGCGCAACGCTGCCACCGCCGCCGCCGCCGCCGCGCACCTTGGGCCAAGGAACCCGCAGCCAGTGCGCCACCCGCTTTATCGCCACACGTGCGCGTGCATCATACCAATGCACGCCCGCCGTCGCGGTCGCCGCCGCCTGCTGCTCCCCGCGCCGCCGCCGCGGCTGCCCTGGCGCGCCCGCGCCCGCGCCCGTGCCTGCGGCTGCGCCTGTGCTCCCGTCGCCGCTGCCGCTGCCGCTGCCGCTGCCGCTCCGGCCAGGCGCGCTGTCCTCGTCGGCATCCTCGTCAGCGGCGGCCGCCCAGTCGTGCTGCTGGAACGAGCCCCGCGTCCCTCGCTGCTGTTGCTGTTGCTGTTGCTGTTGCTGCTGCTGCTGCTGCTGCTGCCGCTGCGCCTTGGCCCCCGCCAAAGTCGGAGTGCTCCCCCCACTCCCGCTCGGCCCCGCGCCCGCCGCGCCCGCCGCGCCACCGCCACCCGCTCCCGCCTTCGTCGGGCTATCCGGGAAAAACCACGCCGCCGCCCGCCGCGCCGGGCTCCTTGGCGGGCTCGCCGCCGCCGCCGCTGCTGCAGCCGCTGCTGCTGCCGCCTCTGCCTCTGGCACCACCGCTGCGCCGCCGCCCTCGGCGCCCGCCGCCGCCGCCGCCAGGTCCTCCACCAAGGCATCGGTATTCGTGGCTATGCAGGCCCCCACCAGGTCGTACATTGCCATCACCGCGGCATGCGTCGTGCTGTGCGCGTACCGCTCCGCCGGCGCGAACGTCGCGGCAGGCAGCACGGTCCCCTCCTCGGCGCCGCGGGGCAGCACGTCGCACGTCTGGCGGAGCGCCTCGAATTCGCGCCCGGCCTCCGCGCCGGCCGCGGCGGCGGCGGCGGCGATGGCCGCCGCGCCGCCGTCGTCCCCCGGCTGCTGCCCCTGCGCGCCGGGCGGCGCCGCGGGCTCCGGCGTGTCGAACCGAGCCCAATCCTCGCCGTCGGCCGCGGCCGCTGCGGTGCTGGCGGCGCTGTCGCCGGGTGCCAGCCCGGGCAGACCGGCATCATTCGGCGCCGCTGCGGCCGCCCTGACCTGCGGCTCCTCTATCTGCTGCTCCTGCTGCTGCTGCTGTTCCTGCTGCTGCTGCTGCTGCTGCTGCTGCTGCTGCTGCTGCTGCTGCTGCTGCTGCCGCTCCAGCCCGGCGTCCCTGCCGGTCGCCGGCGGCATCTCCCGCAACTCAATCTCCTCCGGCTGCTGCTGCTGCTGCTGCTGCTGCTGCTGCTGCTGCTGCTGCTGCTGCTGCTGCCGCTGCAGCCCGGCGTCCCTGCCGGTCGCCGGCCGCATCTCCCGCAACTCAATCTCCTCCGGCTGCTGCTGCTGCTGCTCCTGCTCCTGCTGCGGCTGCCCCGCTGCAGTGCCTGGCTCCCTGCCCTGCTGCTGCTCCTGCCGCAGCCGGCTGGTGGCGATGGGCTTGTACGTAAGCTCGGGGTCCAGAAAGGCAGCAAACCTAGAGATGAGCAACCAAGTGTATGAGATCAAACATCAACAGAAAGGCGTTGATACTCGTCACTAAGCACATCCAACGGTCGACCCCATCCAGCCCCTTGATACATGCCCTGTGCATCGCGAGCCCTCACGAGCCCATCACCGAGCCGCACGCCTGACATTCCTGCGCACACAAACGCCTCTTTCAAACTCAATACCCCCCACACACGGACTTAACCCCCCCACCCCAACACACACACCCTTTCGTGGGCGCCGCACCTCCTGACGAGAGCCACAAACTCCTCCACGTTCGCCGCCGTCCCGCGGCGCCCCGGCACGTCCGGCAGCCGCATCAGCCCCGGCCACGCCTTGCGGGGCACGCCCAGGAAGCTGTAGGCCCGCTGGCACAGGCCCGCGGGGCCGACGGCGTCCCAGCCCCACAGGGCTGCCCGGACTTCAAGGTCTAGGGACCGCGGGTCCAGCTGGCCGAAGAGGATCTCGTCGAGGAAGGGGTCCGACGGGAAGCTGCCGGGAAGGTGAGCGCGGGGCGGACGGTCGCGAGCAGGGAGTATCGTGGTCGCGGGAGGCGGGCGAGGGGGCGGCGAGGTTGACGGCGAGGGGTCAGCCGCAGAGCGGGTCGCTCGGGAGCGGCGTTTGCCGAGCGTGGTGCCGCGCGTGCTCACCCCCATGCGACGGCCGAATCCGACAGCACGCGGCCCACGTCATCCACTCCGACCTCGAGCTGGGGATTGGGGAAGGATGGGCGGCGGGTTGCGCGGCGTGCCATGATCGGAGAGGAGCAGGCACCGCGTGGCACGCCATGCGGCTGCGCACGAGCCAGCTTGCGTCGTGCATGGTGGGCCCCTGTCTCAGGATGCAGGGATGCGTCTGCCCCCCCCTCTGGGGCTGGGCAGCGTAGGGGGAGCGCTCTCGCGGGCGGCGCCGCAGCGCGCCATAGGCCGGTGCATGAGTGCTCGCACGTGAGGTGAGGCGCGCGCACACTGCTCCGATCTGGTGGGGGCTCTTCTCGTTGTGCGGCCCGGGGCTCCGGCCCCTCACCCACCGACCCACCTGTGTCGAGTGGAGTGCCAGCGTGAAGAGGGCTGCCGCCGCGTACCGCTCCGCATCGTTCAGCTCCATGTGTCTGCTGCGATGATCGTTGGGCTCTGGGCGCAGCTACCCGCTCATGCCAACACGAATAATGCTTGCCAAAAAAGGACTTGGGGCGGCAGCGAGCGTGCCACCGCACGGCAAGGGCGCTGGCGCAGCAGCAACCGCTGCCGTCTAGACAGCGATGACGGGCAGGGACGAGGCTGCTGCGAAGTTACAGCCAGAGCCTACTCTGTACACGCGCATACGGGTGGCAGCTATGCGATTTGAGCGTAGCAATGTACACCAGCCCCGCACTATCAACCATAAATGGGTGAATAATTCAAATATGTAAGCCTGATCAGAGGTGGTGTAAGAATTTCCCAAGTGGTGGTCGGACGCTGAAGCAGCTGCAGATCGGTCGCACCCGAGCAAGCAGCTCAAGTACGGTAGTCGTGTCCAATGGTGAGAAGATAGAATTGCTGTTGCAGCTCACAGAAAATATACAAGTCTTCGAGAAGGCTGGTGGCTGCAGCGTGACTGCAGTCGGCCGTCCGTGCGCGCGACAGTCGTGACGCTGCGAGTGTGTGCATGATTTCGATGGTGACGGTATCACAGCCAGGGATGAAAAAGGCCAGCAGTTGTTGTGCAGCAGCTGTCGTCGAGTTTGCTGTCCAGGCGTCCGTCGAGAGCCTTTGGAGGCGGGCCACCCTTGCTGCTGTGCAGCTTAAGCCGTTCCTGGAGGATCCTGTTATATCAAGGATCATTTGGTGGCACTTCCTCCCAGGTGTTGGCATAAGTTCAGGCCATAATGTACGCTTTTCATTGCGGTGTCGGCATCTTCTTTCCACATCCTTCCTCGTCCCACCACGGTCAATGCGTCCCGAGGTGTTGACTTGGGTTCGGGCTCCCTCAGTAGCAGTACGGTAAGCCACAACGCACCTGCTTGGAGCAATGCAAACGACCGCATGCCCTATGCCATGTGCATGTGGGCGGAGTGGACTGGGGCACCGCCTCCCACCGGCAGGCTCCAGGTCGACGCCGCATCCACTGACGTCAGTGGAGTGCGTGCATGACCACTTGAGGTGAGCGTGTCAACAGAGCCGCGCTCTCACAGGATTGCTCCGTCGCACATTCGCACGTGCTGATTCGACACATTCATATCATCAGCCGTACTGCTGTTGAACGACGGTAGTATTATTTGGTGCAAGCAGCTGCAGCAGCCGGACGTCATACTTGAACATCAGAGTGCGCTTCGGGAACAATTGCATCATTCAAGAGGCCGTTTTCACCGTCAAACACAGGGCAGCGGCCGTTGTTGCCGCAATGGCCGATCCCCTCCTTGGAGAGCTCGGCGTCCTACGCGCTGCTCGGCAGGCCATTGATGAGGGCCTAATCAGCACTCAAGACTACGATGTAGTGAAGGTAGCCTTCTTACGGGCGCAACAGATCAAGGCGGGCCTGGACGCGGGCTTCATACGCCAGGACGACTATGTGCTGGCCCGGGACGCGTATCTGAACGCCTTGGACCTCAGCGTTTTGGCTGTACGTCCCAGCACCGGCGGGCCTGCCATGCCGCTGCGCGCTTCGGCGTCGTTCGATCCCGCGCACGCGTCCGGCCCCTCGTCCGCGCCTGCAAGCAACGGCGGCGCCGCTGCCGTCGCACCCTGCCCACCCCC